GACAAGGACGGGAGACAGCCTGTGGGCCGCTTCTTTGGGAACAGCTGGGCTGAGACCTACAGGAATCGGTGAGCTCTGGAGGGAACAGCAGGGTGAAAGATGGTGTAGGTTCCCCCCGTTGGCTGAAATAGGGAGTTTCTTGGGCTGCCCTCTGGTCACCAGGACCTTCTCCTGCTGCCACAGCGGGGTCCTTGGGTTTGGGGTTCTTGGGAAGGCATCCCCTTCCCCTATTTCATGTCTTTGAGAACCTGGACTGGGAACTAGGACCCCATGTCCTTGAGGGCGAGCTCAACCTGCGCACTGGGGTCCGGCCTTGAGAAACTTGGGGCTTGGTCCTGTCCCACGGCTAGTTGACCCTGTTCCCTGGGATAAAATGAGTGTACATTTTTTAAAAACAGTATTGCACATAAGATACATAGCATACAATTCAATAGTTTAATCATGTCAAGATGAGTTGTACGATCATGATCACAACTGATTTGGGAACATTTTCTTCTCTCTCATACTCGAATTCAATGTACGTTTTTATTCTCAGTAGAAGAGCCATTGCCAACGCCTGAAGTCACAGTGGAACAGCTGTTGGGACCTGCCTTTTCTTGGTTCATTCCTCAAATATGGAAACTTCATGCCCGCCTCACTCCTCAGACAGACACCTCTCCCCTCCAGTACTCACTGTGGGGTCTCTGAAGTGGGGGCTACCACTGTGTCTGTCTGGTTTACCACCGTGTGTCAGGCACCTTGTTGTATCATGTTGGGGAACTCCTTTTGCTAAACTCCCGGTCCTCCCTGGACACAGAAGCAGTGCCATTAAGGTGAATTCTGCGTCCGATGTCTGTTCTTGCTCTTTGTTTTCCCCTCTTGGGAGAAAGAAAGAAACCGAGCTCCCCTCAAGAAGTTTCCAGTGAGCTGACAGGACATGCTCAGGCACCTGGGCACATGCCTGGCTGTGATCTCAGCCCTTACCTGGCGCAACCAAGGGTGTCTGATAGCATGGCCAGCTTTCAGAGCCAGTGCCTCTCGGGCGGGCTCTCCCTGCCCAGCTGGGCATGGCAGCTCCCAACAGCTGCTCTTGTTTCCAAAGCCTGCCCAGACCCATTTCTCTCTTCTGGGGTTGGCCCAGGGTGGCTTCAGCTAGAGCCAGCTCTGTCAGAGGGTCCTTTCGGTGAGTGAACTAGGACACAGAGCTGCTCCAGGGATTGGAATTGAGGGCTTGTGCTCCCCCCACCACACCAAGCATGAGAAACTTGTGCCCCACCCCAGCCTAAGGATGTGTTGTGATGTGAGGCCCAGAAACAGACATGCATTCCGCTGTGCAGTAGCATGACGTGGAGACAACAGCGGCTCAGTACCGCAGGGATTGAGGTGGGGGACCCAGTCAAGCCACCTTGAGGCCCCCCTAGGGTACTCCTCATCCCGCCCTCCTCACCTGCTGGAAGGAGCACCACTTCCAGGCCATCGCCCTGGTGAAGGCCCTGCAGGCTATTTACAGAGCTGGTACCCCAGCATAACCTGAGTAGCCCTACAGTGCATGTACCACCATTCCTAGCTTCGGGTAAGCCTGCCCTCGCCCATGGTTAACCTCTGGAGCCGTGGTTCTCAGCCTGCCTAATGCCGTGACCTTTTCATACAGTTCCTCATATTGTAGTGACCCCCAACCATAAAATTATGTTCGCTGCTACTGCAAAACTGTCATTGTGCTACTGTTATGAATCAGGCGACCCCTGTGAAAGGGTGGTTCGACCCCCAAAGGGGCCTCGACCCCCAGATTGAGAACTGCTGCTCTGGAGGAAGAGGAAGGGGAGGCAGCATTATTTGATTTGAGGTGAGCCTTCCTATAGTGTCAGGGTGAGCTCTTTGGTGTGTAATCCCATTGTTTCCAGTTGCTACCAATTGCCTGGCAACCAACCCCTTTGTGCCAACAGCCTGTGCCCGGCTGTGCTGCGGGCAGGTTCCCTGGAGCTTCCAGTCAGACTAGGAGAAAGACCCGATGTTCTCAAAATTCAGCGACAGCTCTGCGGGCCCCAAAGGCCTGACCCTCCTCCACCCATGGGGATGGCCCAGGACCCGTTTCACTCAGGCGTGGGTTGCCTAAGGGAGGCTGACCTCCCAGTCTCAGATATGAAGGGGCTATTTCAGGGGGCTAAGGTTGCAGGCTGCTGTGGTATCAAGTGCATTGGCATTCATGTTGCCCCCTAGCTGCCCACTCGGGCTCCCTCCCGACTGCCAGCCCTTCTGCTGTCATGGCTCCACTTTATGACCACCTGGGGTAGAGCACTCTACCCACCAGCCTGTAGTGGAGCCTGTCTGAGACTGAGCCAGGCGGAGGCGTCTGTGGATCGGCAGGAATGAGCGGCTCTGAATGCATGTTAGTCATAGGGTCTGAAGGCCCAGAAAGGCTCTCTGGAATAGGAGACAGAGAACTCGGAGCTGACCCCTGATGTTCCTGTGCAGTAGCCTGGCTGTGTCCCTTGCAGGGTGCCCACATGCCTGGGCATGTCCAGCCTGGAGCAGCTGAAGAAACTTGGCGGCAACTGACGCCTTTGATCGAGCCTGGCACCTGGTTGCCCACGAATGTCCCAACTACTTCCGCTAGGTCCAGGCCTGACTGGGTGGCAGGGGGCACCTCTCCTGTTCATCTTCCCCCTCACTTTAGCCATTTGGCTCTAGCCTCTTCCCACCCAGTTCACTGTTTCAATGTCCCCGCAATGGGCAGAGGCGGGGATGGAGGTCTGTGTGGCACCTCCCTGCCAGGGACACACCAGTGCATCTGCTCCCCAGTGTCGCCAAGGCCTCGCTGAGAAGGGAACAGGGGTTGGAGGCTCAGAGACAGAGGAACTGCCTCTCAGTGGCCTCTGCCTTGGTGTGCATCCAGTCTGCTCACCTAGTGGGTTCGGAGGTGGCCTTCCCTTCTCTGCGTGACAGAAACACTCAGGGCCACACCCCCTGAAGTAGCTGATGACTCGAAGTGACATCCATTTAATACTTAGAAGTGGAACAGTTTGGGCAGAGTCCTACCACTAGAGTCGCCTAGGAGAAGCGAGCCGGCTCCAGGAGGCTGTGCAGAACATGTGAGCGAGCATGCCTCCTGGGCGCAGCTCAAGCCTGTCTCTGGCCACTCGGATTCTCAACCCTGGGTTGGGTGTGTACGTGTGCGTTGCAGCGAGGACCCTCAGTCCCACTGGTTGTCCCTGCCCCTGCAAAGTGCCTCTGATCACAGCGGTCGGTCGGGAAGCTGCCAGTGCCAGAAGCTGGCTTGTGAGGTGAACAAATACCCTGGAAATCCTGACAAGAAGCACAAGTCCAAAGCCTCCTTTTTCTAAGAAGAGTTCCTTTTGCTGCCCATAGGAGGAACCCCGTGGATGAGGTTTTATTCTTATATAAAAACAGTCCTTTCCCGCTCCCGTCGCACAATAAATAGCTGCTCCCTCATGGGGTGGGGGGTGGGGCGTCCTGCTGCTGGGGCGAGGGGAGACCTGGGGCTGCCCGGTGTGTGTGTGGGCAACCCGGTCAGTCGTCGTCGCTGTCTTCTGCCGACTCTTCTGCTGACTCGTCCGCACTCTCTGGCAGGTCGTCGTCGCCCATCTGCGCAAACCTTCCAGACTGTGCGTCCCACATGTACCTGATGGTCACTTTGAACTCAGCCATCTCATAGCCAAAAAGCTTC